TTTGTTTGTTTGTTTATAGTGTGTATTTAATTGTAAATGTCAGAAATACGTAGCCCTTTTTTTTATTGGTTTAATTTATTAATTTCTAATAGTTGCGAAGTTGTCATGCGTTGAAAATTGTACAAAATTCTCTGTGTGTGTGTATGTATGTGTATGTGCGTTTTGTTTTTATATCACCAAACATACTTTGTTACGTGTTCCTATTTACATCAGTGTTAATTGTGTAATTTCGAAGGGAGATTCTCTGAGTGTGAATGTTTATTTTGTGTAATTAGTTAGGTGGACACCAGTTACAAGAACATTTCATGGATTAGTATTTCAGGGTTGTGAGTAGAGAGGAGATGGGAGTTAACGAGAGAAAATATGTATTTCGACAAAAGGCATATGTTAGCAAACACTTGATGATCTAGGTAGTGTCTCTGATATTAGAATATGCAATTGGAATTGATATGAATTACACGGCATCAGCACATCAAGATAATATTGAAATATGACAAGTCACAATATTGATGGTTGCTCTACCGACCTCACATGATCAGAATATTGATCTGGATCAACTACCATATAATGATGAAGTGTGTTGTATTGTGGAGAGTGATAAGTGAAATGGAACAATATTCTTGAGTAATAGAATAATGTTTGGAAATGATTATTGGGAAGTAGAATTCACTTGTACGAATTCGATGGTTTCTTACCACATAAATCATTGTCAGTTGTGATTTTTGAGATTGACAATCGAGTGGTGAGCTTATTTCAGTATGCTTGTTGGTTTTCATTACAATCGAATTTGAATAATCTCAAGTTTCTGATTACAGTCAAGTTTGATGAAAATGTAAGAGGATCGGGAGATTTCACTATTTTAGAAAACGAGATCATTGGTTACGAAGAAGTATATTATTGTTGAGAGATGCAGAGATACATTTCAATCAATTTCTTTTGATCTTTAATTTTGTGAACTTTTTCATTTTATACGAAAGATAATTGATTTGAACACATTTGAAATCGAAAATACACGACAACATTGAATTATAGTGGTATATACTGTTATGTAGATTTCTTTGTTTCACGCTGTTTTGCAGTGCCAATATTTTAAATGTTAGTTGTTGTGTTTAACAGATCAATAATCTGGGAACATGGACCACTGAATACTCTGATAAGTGTCGGTAAAATGACCTACTGAATATGAAACCTGAACTTATTATGAACGAACTTTGGTGGTGTCGTCAGTGAGCATTGTGGATGTGTTATATACTATATCGAAATATTCGATCAGCTCTGTGTTTGCAATGTAGTATATTTCCCAAAACTGTACAAATCGAAGAATCTCTTTTGAAACATTGTTTCTCAGTGAAAATCTGTCATATTGGGAGTTTCAAGGATGCATACTACGTGAGTTATCCAATGAGCATTGATGCAATTCATGAAAATGCTTGTGAATCACAGAACATAATAGAGAACACGTAAATATTTCAGTAATTAGAATTTCAATCCAGACTTTGTTTTGTTTCTATGATGAGTGTTTGTCTTCGTCCTTATAGGAAGTATTGAAACTAACGTTTGATTTTCGTGTATGTTTTGGGAGGAAGGTACTAGTCTTGGTTTTAAAAGTTGTATGACTCAGTGAATTCACGTAAATTTATGATGTGTCTAGCTTGTAGTGTCGGTTATTATATTAAGCCCATACACGTTATTCTAGCTCATTCTATTCATTCTACTTGAGTCACATTCTGACTTTGTTAATTATTTGCTTATTAATCTTGAGTGTTATTATATGAGCGCGTAGATATGTGTACATTTATTATCCCATTACTCATCACATATCTGTAACTTACTTTTGTGTAACTATAAATATTGATTGACGCTTGGTTAAATGGGAATCGGCTTACCAGCCATCTCCACTGTGCGTCGTTTCTCCTCTCTCTATTCCATTCGCTTTATATACAAAATATATGTATTCACAAGTTCATTCTCGTTATTTGACTTATTTAATTCCTCCATTGACTGACGCGATTTAAGTCGATGATTATAAACGAGAATAGGCGACATATATATTTCAACAACAATCATCATTACGATATTCTTGGAGTCAGATCCATGGACCACTAAAAGCTGTCACATGCTAACCTTTAGATACGTTGTATTGGATAGCATTCTGAATGATTCCTCTCACTACCTTCCAGTTGTCAACAACTATTAGCCTATACCATTCTCGTGACCATGGGGCGTGGTAAAGATGCTTCATTGTGGTAGCGTCTTCCGCTCTATTGTAGCTGAGGTATGGAATATTCTCGTCCCACTCTAGTATTTCGTTTACGAGCACGGTGTGCATGACTGTATAATGCTCACAAAGGAGGAGATTTAGGTATGGGTCAGCACTTTATTCGGACATCGCGAGACTGATATCCCTTCCAACAATTAGATCAACAATTAACATAGATACATGATATATCCAGACAATGTGGGAGACTGGATGGGCTACGTAAGTAAGGAGATATAACCTGGTGGTGTTCAGAATAAGTGAAACCCATTGGATCCAAGCTGGACAGAAAATAATAGCCTCAAAAGAGGTGCTATCGAACCCTGACCATGAAGAAGAAAATGCTTCGAATTCACAAGTTGTTACATTGATGGTGTCCAAAGAAGCACGAAAAGCACGTATAGGATGGGAGTCTCATGGACGTAGAATCATAAAAGGATTCTTCGAAAAAAAGGGGACTACAATGAATGCTATCCAGTGTTGTGCGCCTACCAATGGTAGCAACGAAGACGATAAAGATCAGTTTCATGAGGCTGTAGTTGATTGTAAAGACGAGCTCAGGAAAGGACCTGACCATATTGAGGGAAAAACGAAACGCTAAAGTCGTAATGTACAACATCGAGTATGATGATATTGTGGGACGACATGGAGTGGGAGAAAAGAACGACAATGCTAGGAGATTTGCAAATTCATGTGCTTTCAAAGAAATAGTTATAAGTGCCACCATATTCGCTCACAAACACATATAAAAAGTTACATTGGTTTCACCGGATAGCACTACAGAACCCAATATCATGAGGAATCCAAAAATTTATCATCTGATACAGCCTAAAACTACATGTCGGTTATATGCTGGACAATCACAGAGGAATCAGTTTGACTAATATAGTGTCTAAAATATTAGCTTCAATAATACTTCGACGCCTAACTTAAGCTCATGAAGAGCAGATTAGAGAGAACCAGGCCGGTTTTCGACCTGGACGTGGTTGTATAGATCAGATATTCCCACTAAGTCAGGTTCTAGAACACAGACACACATTCAGACGCCCCACAATGGTAGTATTTCTCGACCTTAAGGCGGCATTCGACTCTGTTGATCGTGAGGTTCTATGGCAGTGTTTGTCACTGAAAGGAGTACCAAAGAAGTACATTAACCTTATAAAGGCTCTCTACTCGAACACAACTGGTAGAGTAAGAGCTTATGGCGAACTGTCATCAGAATTGATTACCTCAAGCGGTGTTCGTCATGGCTGTCCACTCTCTCCATTCTTGTTCGACTTTGTCGTTGACGTGCTTATAGAGATAAAAAATTTCCTCATCTAAATTTCCAGGGATTGAACTTCTACCGGGAGGTTCACTTGTTGACTTAGAATATGCAGATAACATAGTTTTATTTGGTGAAGACGCTGACAAAATGCAGTCTTCTGACCAATCTAAGCAACAATGCAAGCATGTTCGGGATGCGATTCTCTCCCTCGAAATCCAAAATGTTGCTTCAGGATTGGGTTACATCGACACCCGAACTAGTGATAGGGAGTGAAGTAGTTGAGTGTGTCGACCGCTTCACTTATCGTGGAAGTCTCATCAGCCCTTGTGGTTTGGTGTGTGACGAAATCTCAGCACAGATACAGAAGGCTCGATTAGCTTTTGCCAACTTGCGTCATTTATGGCGTAGGCGAGATATCCGTCTATCAACCAAAGGACGTGTTTACTGCGCAGCAGTTCGTTCCGTCCTACTTTATGGCAGTGAAACATGGCCGGTAAGAGTAGAGGATATTCGTAGGTTACTAGTATTCGATCATAGGTGTCTTCGAAACATTGCTCGTATATCCTGGGACCATTGAGTAAGTAATGCAGTTTTTAGGAAACGGGTACTGAGTAAGGATGGCAAATCAATTGATGAAGTAGTAAAACTCCATCAGTTGAGATGGATGGGACACGTGTTACGTATGCCCAACCACCGACTGCCTCGATGTGCGATGTTTAGTGGTATAGGAGTAGGTTTGAAGAATGCTAGGGGGCGGCCAGATCAAAACATGGCACAAGTTCATGAAGTCACTGACAAGTGGACTGAGTCATGTTGGTAGGTGTAGACTACCTGGTTAGGGACAGCGAGATGACAGCAACCGATGGTTAGAGACCCTGAATGACATGGCTCAAAATCGTTTGCAATGGCGCAGGTGCATACACTCTCTGTGTTCTCCCAAATTCTAATCTTCTGAATTCTTCATGTCCCTTTTTTCCTCTTTCCAAATTTATTTCACTGTATTATATTCTTTAAATAACATCTCTAAACCCTAATGTTTCCGATTACTGCTTATACTCTTACCACCTCTACCACTACGGGATTTGAATCGACAACTGCATCTCTGTGCTAATGTGGTGTGGTAACTCGAACTGATGTACGTACGTACGAAGTTCTACGTTGTTACTGACTGACTGACTGACTGATATGCTGAATAGACGCTGGTAGATTACAAGACTGGTTAGTGGACAGTACTCTGGCGTTTAAAGCAATACAAACTTGGCTCAAGTTCAACGTTATGACGATAAAACACAAATTCTGTGTTCCATTTTTAGCAGATATCGAAATGATTATAGAAGTCCCCCTGAAGTTAGTCGTTGTTGTCCAACCTGTGTCTAATGTGTTTCACTGATTTCAAATACCTCCAGGTTGTATCTCTTCATTTCTGCAGCAATTTGGATGACTCTCCCAGTCTCCCACATTGTACAAGCATTCTATTTTTTAAAATGTCTTTTACCTCAATATATTTCGTAAGCAAATAATTCTAAAATAATTTCAACAATTACACAACTGTCCACACATTCGATGCATCTTGAAAACTCTTACATAGAACTAATAAACATCAAAGCAAAATTTTTAGATGGACGATAAATGCACATTTAATTTTAATTTCTTTAAAAAAACAACTTGTATTTACATCGAAATGTTGAGGGAGATCAACTTCATGCACTAATTAATAATAGCACAATTAAATAAATCAAAAAAAAATATAGTTGATTATAAAAACAAAATAAAAGTTTAAAGAGAATCTCATTACTACTGACAATGATAATAACAGTAGTCACTGAATTTGTACACACACAAAAAAAATAAGTAACAGCATTAATTACATTTGACTTTCTTTGTTATTCTGTGATGATTTAATTGGTGGATCCCATTTCAATCGATTGATATCCAATATAAAAGAGTTTTTATGCATCAATTTACGATTTTTCCGTTGTTCTTTACCATCTGTACGAAAGGCTTTCATAGAATGTTCATCATTTAGTTGATTCAAATATTGTTGTATAGTATCACGATGTAGGCATATCTGATGACCATGTTGCCAATTATTAATAATTGGATGATATTGTAATGTCCAAATAATATCATCAATGGCAATACATGTTTTTGTACTAAAATGTAGAATGAACATATGAAATAAGGACTGATAGAAAATGTTTACATAAAGAAAGTTTGTGACTAATGGATTGTATTTTAACATAGACTGGTTTCGTTTAAGGTAACAATTCATTGAAAGCTAAAGAGTATTAGCTAGCTGTTTTATGAGAATGATTCGCAATAATATAAAACAAATTCACTCGTCAGAGACTTGAATAAGAGCCACAATCTAAGTGTGAGAGCTAATGATACTAACCGTTTAACTAAACCAAAATAGGTTTAGTGGGTTTGGATCAGAAGGTAATTATCAATAAAAACTAGGTGTTATTCATCAAACAGCTGTCTCGTCTTAGTATGAGGACGATCGTTGGTGGGAAATTTGGGTGTGCACACTCCGGAATGTAGCCTACAAAAAGGTGTGTAGAAATCTAACTAACTACACTTGGAAGCTGGAATCATTAGATTGTGACGCGATGATCTAAAGATTATCTCTCCGCCTCCAAACCTAGGGAAGATCTCTGATCGAATACCAATGCTGAAGAGTATGAGACTAGCATGGAACATCTCCTAAGTGCTTCCTTATATTCTCTTAACTGTTTATCAAATGAAAGAGATTCGTGTTGTGCGAAAAATCTGAAGAGTTCAATTAGTTAATATTTATTTCTACCTCATAACACGTGAACAGAGAAAAGTTATTTAGTCTGTAGGTATAATGACACAAGTTTGAATCCCATAAGGAGCACTATTTCTCTCAAGATTCCACGTAATTCAAGCTGACAAGTGCCAACTGGCACAAAACTTAGATCCATGATTTCCCATTAACTAACTCTATCAAAACACATAGTAAGGTTAGTGAAACAAGAGAGAACAGAAACTCCACAATTACATGCTCAGATCTGGATATTTTGGTTGGTTCATTTTCATCAGTGCTGGTGGATAGGGTAAATCAAGAATATGGAAGATTCTTCTGTGAATACTATACAAAACCCATCTTTTTATTACTGAATGTCCTGTGGTTTTGGTTGTTCGGAATATTACTTCCTTGTTTGCTTCTTATTTGGATCAAGTGAATGTATAGTATCAATTAAAAAACTGAAAAATAAGTGAATGTAGTGGACAAAAAAGTACTATCTATTTATTTAGGCAAAATACAACTACTCTTAAACATTTGTAAGCTTACCTTAATTCATTCATTGTACAATTAGGATTTTCTAATAGAAAATTCAATATTACCTTTTCCCAATAACTACGATAACTTAAACGACCTAAATCGGAGAGAGGTTTCTCTGGTGTACCAACAATTTGTTCAATTTTAGCTAATTCATAACCTGAACAAAGGAAATAACAAAAACAATAGCAAAACAAATAGATGCGATTAAATTAAGTGAATGAAATTGTGTACAACTTAGCCGCTACCTTAACGTAGTGATCAGGCTTGCTGAACGTGATGACTTACCTGAGCTATATTGGCTAGAACACATGCTTCTTTAGGTCCTATCATGCCAGACAGGTGAGTTGGAGAAGGATGGCAGTAAAAGCAGCAACTTAAAATTTGAGGGTGAAGTCATATTGTATACTGTAGAGCGGTGTGACAACAGTAAGATGTTTTTCTCGGATAATCAGCATCTGCAGCAAAGTGAAAAACGCTCTCATACCTCTAGGAGCACCCGAGAACATCATGTTCATGACCGAATTCCTACAACCAATTTTGCTCGTATATCTTTATCCTCACGTGTCACCAATGCAAATGATTTGAGTTCACGAAATATTATTTTTGGTATCCGGAAACCACACTCTAAACTGCATTGAATGGTCAAACCTTGTATTACATAGGACAACAGGCTTATTAAGCTAAGAAGCTAAATTCTCGCACCATCAATGTGCTTTGTCTCCGAAACACACATATAGGATCCAAGTATTGTCATTTACTTGACCCCACCTTGACAATCTAAAGAACTGGCACGATTTACATTTATGTATCTGGAGTCCTCACTGTTCATTCTCGTGACCTCGTCAGTATACGTACGGCATTAAGTTTGGAAGCACAACAGGCTTTCCTAGAATGTATGCTAAAAGACAGTCGTTTTTGTGCTGTCCAAATAAACTGGACAGTAAGCACTCAAAAAGATAGGGACACGTGCCGTTGTCTTTTCATTGTCTCTGCCTACGATCACACAGATTCGGATGAAGTAAGAGATGAATTTTATAAAAAGTTATCTAGCCTCCTTCAAAAAGTAAAACACTGATGTAATTGAATATGAATATTGTGGGTTGCAAATTTCAATATTGTATAGTTCCGACAAAAAAAATATTTTGCAGAAACCATTTATAAATTGTTAATAAGGTCTGCATATTATCGAATCAGACGACTGTAAACAATGGAAGGATGATAAATATAGTTTCAATTACTCATTACCCACTTATTATCATAAGTATTTCCTGTCTAAAAGTATCACTATAAAAAATATATTGGTATCAAGGATATATATACAGAGAGAGAGGCATGGATACAAACAACCAAATACATAGACAAGGTACGAACTAGTACAAATATTTATCGGTCTAAATGGTCACAAGTTACGCCGGTACATAGACAGAAAAACGACAAGAAAAGCTGAAGAAAGAAAAATATTATTTAAGCTAATAACGCAAAATTAGTGAATTTAGGCTGCATCGAGACATAATTCATTCAAAATTACACACACCGAATGTTTTCATAAACGAAGTCATTTAATTATGCTAAAAAAGAAGCATAACAATCACAATGCATAAATATGAGAGAAACTCACTGAGACTAATTAAGAAATGACCATATCCACGACGTTGAAATGGTGGTAAAGTTAAGATACATGCAAGATTATAATTATCAGCAGATACTTTTTCCTGAAAAAAAAATGGAAAAAGAAAATATTTTAGAAAGGAAAGACGATGTAGGATTTGCTTAATATTTCAACATACAGAGCAGAAATTCGTTGATTGATACGTAACATAGCTGATCTTTTTTGGGTCCCATAGAATGCTCTTAAGACATGACATATAAATATTATATTATCAACTCATTTGCCAGATACAGACTCATGAACTTGGTTTTAAGTTGCATTTCAAGTGTGAGGGACAGTGATCATACCCAAATAAGTAGAGGGTCCTTCAAGTATGCATCTTAGTGGATAAACATTGAACGCATTAACTACTGGGTCACCGTGCCAAACATAACTACTAAAATAGACAACATTGATGACTTTCAAATACTTGAATTTCATTACTTAATTTTAATGAAATCACAAAACAAATAAACAATTAAAATTAAAATGTACATTCATCATAAATTAAACAAATAGTGTGATAGAAATCGGCTGCTAAGTATGTAGCACACATCAGATGAAGAAATTATATTTGAGCTAATCTCAGCAATTGAAATTTAAATAATTGTAAAGTTTCACCTGAGCAACTGACTTGAACTTCAGTGAAATAATCAAAATCAGAACTACCAGAGAATAAGATTAAAAGCAAGTCTACACTAAACATTAAGCCTGTTATGTTTAAATGTTTATTTTGCGAACAGTATTAACACGAAATTCATAAGGGCTCTATGCATACGTTATCTCAGTAATGTTCTTAAAGCTGTGACAGCTATTTTGACTGACGAAACGGAATTATTAAATAAATTGACCGTTGAAAATCTGGGAAAAAAACATGTTAGTATAAACAATGTAGACTAATAGCACAGTGATTGCGCTAGTTGTGATTTTTGTTTGATAATTTTGATCATTTTTTTGAAAAAGTTCAGATCAGTTTCTTGGGTGAAACAATGGAATTTCAGTTGATAGGATCATTTCAAATATAAATTCTACATCGAAAATTAAGTGCAGTTGAACAATACAAGCAAACTGAACTAAGTGAATCACGTGTGGAATTATACTTGAAGGTTACCCTTGGAGCCGAATTTGAATAGTATGTCAATGCAAAAGCAATCATAGAATATAGTGTGTATAGCTAACCTACAAAGGCCGTCAGAATGACCTTCAAAAAACTGAATATATTTTTTCTACAAAAAAGTCCATAAGATAACAAAAATATGGTTGCAGTTCTTAGATTGACGATTTTTCTGAATCAATACACAATTAACTGATCCAGCTGCAATCTTTGTCTTTCTATTGATCAATGTATAATACATTATTTTAATCTTAATTTTTTACAATCCACTTCTCCACTTTTTAAGAAAAACTCCATTTTCATGTTTCATTTTATACTTCTGAAGACACTTGTGTCACCGAAAACTGATACATAAAATAATGGAGAAGTATAGGACAAATCTATTGCAGTAGTTCCTGGCATTTACAAATCTTGAACAGCATAAAATACATATAGTCTTCAAATATTGTGATCACAAAACACATTCAGACGATTAAGTAAAGACTCATTTATAAACATGTTCAGATTTATTCTGGTGATATGATGCGATCACTACTCACTGTTATCAGATTGTTAATACCTCACTTTGAACACCAAACCATAACTGTTACCTTGATGTGGTAGTCGAGGTTGCCCACCGTGATAACTTCATCGAGCTATATTGATTATAGCAATTTTTTCTTCATATACTACCATCCCGAGATGGTTGACTGGAGGGCGATAAGACCAAAAGAAACGAAACTTACGGTCCAAGGGTGAAACGGTAGTGCTGATTGTACAAGGATGAGGTGCTAGCAAGGTATTTACATCAGACAACCAGTATCTGCAGTAATGCTGCCTTCCCAAAGAGGAAGAAGAGGAGTAGGAATGGTCAACCCTATAAAATAGCGTACCACATCCTCCTCTATGGATTACATGAATACAGGCAGTGTGTGAAGTATGATTATAGTCCCAGGTCGTCGAAATCACTGCTTGTCCAGTTTCCGTTTCAGACTTAAGAATAATCGTTGTACGGCGTAGGCATTCGGTTAGGGACAGCCGGTCACACTCCTTTGACAGTACTACAGATCCCGTTAATTGAACTACTATTCCTTACTTTTCTCATTGTTTTTAATCATTTTCAGGATTGTTAACATGTCTTCTTACTAATGAAAGTCGCTTAGAACAAGTACAAACCCAGCTACTTAAAATTCGAGCCACAATTCAGTTTGGAAGATCAATGATGCTATATTTGACTGTCGAGACTAAAACCAGTTGAGCAAAGTACTAACCCGTACCTCAATCCACCAAGTCGGCGTACTTCATCATTAATATGTTTTATATTTAAAACGCCAACCGGTGAGTAAGAATTTGATTTCTTACATAATGAGAAATAAGAACGACAAGATGAATACAAATTACCTTGGAAAAATAACCAACAAGATGTACTCCATCATTGTCTATCTCACATAGAACATAGAATATAAATGGTGAAACATTATAATAAAGTGTTTTATGATCTAGAAACAATTTGGCCAACAGACATAGATTTTGACAGTAAAGCTGTAAAGAAAAAAAGATAAAAGCGAAAAAGGATAACGTCATTTCTTTTTTGAACAGTGAACACAAGACTTATCTATAAAGACGATACTACCATTGTGAAATAACATGAAATATAATACAAAACTAAACTTGTTAGGCATCTACGGGGTTTGCCGAGTTCATGTACAATCAGAAAACAGCGCCTCCTAAAATGGATATATAGTTATGTATAACAACATACGATTATATATGTGACAGCTAATAGCTGTGTCAAAAATATAATGGGAGATAATGTCAAAAGAAAATTGAAGAACATCACAACATGAAGACTGTTATAATAAAATAAACATTCATCAGATACACTGGAATTGAAAATATTTATTCCAGGTATCAAGAAGGTGTGATTATAATAATAAATAAGTTGAATATAATCAGCTTATACGTATAGTTAAGAAAATGATATGATTACAAATATACGTCAAACTACGTGTTCAAAAGTTTCTAAAGATGAAACGTGTTACTAAAAATTAATAAGTAGTACAGCATATTACAAAAAAAAGGAAGAGAAATCAGAAAACAAGGACAATGAAGGTGAACTTAGCATACATGTTTGCGCTTTTGTTGTTGCTGAGGTCTCTGAACTAGATGATTTAATTATTGAGAGAGCTCATTGTCATTTTGGACAATATCATCAATCGCTACTTCAAGTCGAAGGTCCTGGTGGTGTTGATCAGAATGACAATGGACGGCAAATCTGTAGTTGCAGTTTTGTACAAAAGCCTTCAAGGGCGTATACTAAGGTTTATTGAAACCTTGTCTATACGGAAACTGAAGCCCCTTTAAGTGTTCAAAAACAATTTATTCTAACCCCGAACCTACCCTGGTAATATTGATTTATTATCCAGTGTGATTCTCACATTGTTTTTGTGTACTTTATTACTATCTTTGTTTCCACTTACCTTTTAATTTGTCTAAATGGTCTTTTATTTTTATATAAAATGTCTTAATATGAGACACCACGTTGATAACATGATTCAATTAACGGTAGGATAATTACATCAATTTTTTCATAGATGGAACTTTATCCAGTTTAGGGATCAAATTCTTGATATGATATCGTCAATGTAATCATTTATAAATCAATGATAAATAGTATTACAGATCACAGCACCAACACTAATGGTTTGGTTGATCCAACGTGACTAGTTATATTCAAAAAAACTCACAATCACATAGAGATAAGATGGATGATGAAATTACTAAGAAACTAGTTGACTAAATTAGGTTTTAACACAACTTTCATATAGTTATCTTTACATAGAAAAATTTATTCACTGGTTCAACGCGCGACCTTATTAATAATAACTTTTATAGAATCCATTGTTCATCACCAAGAGAGTAATACCGAGGTTCGACATATTTTCAGCACACTCAGCCATAGATCCCGCCTACATATTTATGCTTAGATGGTTACAATCCTTGGGTTAACTAGAGTTCTTAAAACTAATTAATTACTTGATAGAAGCAACATAACCAATTATTATATTAACATATTTGAAAGAGATACTCTACTCTACAAAGATATAAGAACTGCCACAAACACAATCGATGTGGCATGTTCTGGAGCGTGTCTAAAGCTAACAACAACTGTCGAATTTTCAACAAATACGACTGATAGATAGGTTCAAAACCTGGATGGAAGTTGGTGTGCAAGTTCACATAGGTTCGAAGCGATCTTTGTGTATAGTGAAACGACCAAATCAACAACTCCGAGATTAAGCGTAAGTTATGTACGAATTACAAATGGCAGGTACTGCCTTGGCCAATGGAACTTGGGGTACAGTAGCATAAATCGTAACCAATCGAAAACAATAAAACCACTTTCATCAACAATAGCGAAACATAACGTATACCTTTTGTACATTGCCATCTAATTCAAAAACGCATAGATTTCCATGATTGTATATTTCTTTACCAGGAGGTCGTTTTGCTTTACAATCATATTTTATATGGTTTAACCATGTTTCTGAATACTTCATATATTTTAAACAATATTCACATATCCATAACTTTTTCACTTGTCTAAATTCTTCGGGATAAGGTGAAAAATACCATGTGTCAATTTCGTACTTGCCAAATTGTATCTGATCAATAAATTTCACTCGAGTAAACTGACAAGTAAAGTTTAAACACAGAATAATCGAAATGAGAAATAAAAATGTTACACGGACATGATATAAGCTAAAACAGTATAAGTGAGCTATCAGCTGACAGGTTCAATCAATATTAACATAATTCGCACTTATACAGACTTCTCTAAGATAGTTGATTTACATGGCGGCTGGGTTTTGCAGCTGTTTCGCAATATAATGCGAACTACTATGAAGTCTACTCACTTATCGGTTGATAGAGATCTTACCTGAAGCACTTGTGTCACAGACGGACAAATGTCCAGGGGGATTTTAGTTTCCGCTACAAGATCTAGCGATTCAATAACTCACAATAGGAATAAGGATTTTAAGATGTGTTATGTAGTCAACATGATAGACTACTCCACTCAGTATAATCAAACTAAGTATTGATCAAGACCAGTTCTGAAGTAAAATCTTGCATTCAGTGGGAGATAAAAGTATACTTAAGCCTGTTAACTAATTATAATTATCACATATGCAAGAAAGATTCTATTCCAAAAACAAACGAAGTGTGAATACTAAACGTACATTTTCACGGTCAGATCATAAGACTTATTCTATTTATTAGTTATTCCAATGGTTAAGATCATGAATCAGTTGAAGCTAGACCATCTGGAAGCACTGGACGGATGTTCTGTCCTATTGTGGGACTCCCCAGCAGTGCGCATCCACGACCTTGCCCCCTGCGAGACTCGAACCCAGGACCTACTGGTTTCGCGCAAGAGCACTTAGCCACTAGACCACTGAGCCGGCATCTAACGGTGTTAATGTCTAACTTCAACTAATCCACGAAATTGAGCGACACATCCGCCATTGTCCCACAATAGGACGAAACGGCCGTCCAGTGCTTCCAGGTTTTCCATGGTGATCTAGCTTCAAATGACTCATGATCTTAACCATTGGAATTACTATAATATCCACAAAACCCATCTGATGTTATTTATTCACTCAAACATAAACATTGTTACAAGGAGGAACCAAACAGATATGCGCCACATAAATCATTCGATTTGTGTGGACTAGGATACTGCCCGGGTGACCAAACCGAAGCAGGTGGTCTACTTAGGGGGTCACACTCCGAGCCTTTGACCTGAAGGTCTAATCCACAAGAGGGAGATGCAGTCCCACGGTAGCCGGTGACCAACAATTGGTTCATACGCCACTTGTTTCCATAGGATCCTGGAGCCCATGTGCACCATTGGTTTAGAATCAGGGTTTTCCTACTCTCCTAGGTGAATCCACCATAAGCACTGACCCGCTTAAAGCGCCGGACATACGCTTTTCGTCCTCTCAATTTTGTAAACAACTCTCCCGTCGGCAGAAGGCGGTGAGTAGAACTTCCCTGGCAGTGGTTGTATGCACGTGGCCATGTGGGAGCATTTAGAGAGGGAGATGACTCTCCCCACTCTTGGCCGTACCAGGGCAGAAATAGACAAGAACTTTTGAGGTTCGATATTCCGAGCTAATATTTTAGGCCCTATATTGACTAACGCAACTCTGTGTTCATCAAAAAAGTACTTTCACCATTTTATTTAGACTGGGACGATCAGCGACTATGGTCATTCTAGATTTCAAGGGATTACTCTACACTTAAAGTCTACCTATTTTGCCGTCTCGACCAGCTGTTTGTCAAATACATAGAGAAATGCAGAGTAGACTACTTATAATTAAACTCGTTGATAATGTAAGGAACCCATGGTAATTTGTTTCTAAAGGTCAAGAAGACATCGAAAAATTTGACTAAGAAAACTTTTAAACACATAATAGTCACCAGTCGCTTACATCGTGAAAACTGATATTTTGTCTAAAGTGCCTAAAAGAACAGTTGAATTAGTTTCAAAATGACATCAGCTTGCGGACGATCACATACAGCCTTTTACATGATCATTTGTAAGTTCTATCTGCTCTACATCTGGAAGTATTAGACTAAGTTAACTGAAAAAATGATGAGATAGAGAAAGGGTAATTCATTTGGCAGTTGCAAGTTAGTGTACTTGACTTCAAGTCACATCCTAACTGTGAGGGTTAGTGATATTAAGCCAAAACAATTGGAGCGGGATTCGGACCCGCAGCTTCTTGGCTCGAAATTGAACGTCTTAACGACTAACCTACCATTTCATTCTAGAGAGAACTAGTTAGAATAAACCCTATTAGTCTAGAACGTAACAACATTGATTTAATGGATGTTATCATTGTTATTTTCCCAAATGTTACAAATCTATTACTAGGACCATTTTTAGTATAGCTATTCCCGCAAAATAAAACAGTATTTTGTGGTATAAACTCATTGTAAAGAAACAAACTCAATGGAGAAATTGAAGCGCGATTATCAAAGTTATGCGAATTAACTTTTTCAAAAGACCTTACTTCTTGATATTCAAGCTCCAATTTTTGCGTAGTAGAGTCTAAAGAGTCACTTTCCTGTGAATAAGAAAAAATATATACGATAACAACCAAACCAAAAAGCATGTGACAACAAACACATGAAATGAAGAAAATAACATGGCAAAAGAAAGAAATCACATACACAACAAACATGCAAAACATCTGTGGAGTGAGAATCAGATCATTTCTTTGATCATTCAATCATAATCAACTGACAGCCTAACGCAAATGTGCGTTGGGTGAATTTGATACACTACGTCAGCAAGATAAGAATGAACTAATAACATGAATAAGAAATGGATAAAAATGATGTAACAACTATAATGACAAACACATGATACGAGGAGGAATATGTGAATGGATAGTGGAACTAAAAACCTAGAGCAGGGCAGAGAGTAAATGCACTTATGGCATTGTGACTGATCCTGAAGTATATCATCGAACCTCAACTCCTGATTGCGGACCCCATAAAGGTAGTATCTATCAACACCATTCAGGTCAACAGCTATTATTTTCATGGACTGATACCACGTTTTGATTTACCTGTCCCTAGCTTTCTTCCAACCTACTACTAGGTCGGCTAAAAACGACTGTTAGGGTAGTAGACGGTTGAGAATGCGTAACACGAGTTCGAACCACCTCAGTCGATGAAGATTCACAACCTCACTAACTGACTTGCCATTTTTTCCTTCTACGCTATGGTTAACCCAATTCTTTACTTCGCTGTTATGTAAACTAATAATTTACCACTCACTTGAAGAACTTTGGAAGTTTCTTCCAACTTGCGTTTCTGATTTCTGGTGAATCGGACATCACACCCAGCAGAATCTGTTAACTGATTAAGAGACGACTCGCATGGAATTTTAAGCTTTGCAGAACAGTCAATTCGTTCAGATGTAACCCATTCATCTAATCTACGGTCGTCTGGATAAATGTAACAATTAAACAAGTAAAACAACATACGATTGCAATAATGAACATAATATTCTTTATTCCCATTACCATCTATACGACCTTCAATTACAGCGGCAGGATCTATGTCAAGAGGAAGTAAGTTTCAAAATACTATGGACGTTACAGTATTGACCAGTAGATCGTAAAACTTTATACACTTCTCCAATTTGTATATCTGGATCAAGTGTTGACACTTTTAAATCAATATCATCAGTCGGATTATGAACCATCCTCTTTTTTACCTAAAACGTTGAAACCCAATAGACTTAGTTACATAAATACTTTCGCCCACAAACAAATATTTCAATTAGAGAAGTAATATGACGGAAGACATGTATTTATGGGTGGAGTAGTAGCTAGGACTGAAACGTTTCAAACCAAAACCAACATAATTCTCCTACAACAAAAGAACAGCATTTCCAACTTTGCATGATCCAAGCACTAAAGTCAGCTAAACATGATTTTTCGAAACAATCTTTGCTCATACATACCAGTATTACTTTACTGGTTTACCTACAAATACATAAATTAATGGTAATGGACAAAATAAACTGAGTTAGTTTCGCGCTGAGAAGTACTTATCATTTTTGTATTAGATGTGAATGACTTAAAAAGAGTTATTACATGACGATAAACACTATATCGTAAGATATAATCATGCTATTAGACGACAATCACATGCTACATTTAAAACGCGCCGTAGGTTTTTTTGTGTACATATATAAATTATCTAGAATTTGACTATGAGTGACAGTAAATGGTTCAAGAAGCTTGGTGTAAAACCCAGTAATTAGTCAGTCAGCTACAACGTAGAACCAGACACATATATTCATCGGTCCAAGTTACCAAACTGATCAATTGTCAAAAATATACAATAAAATACGTGAAAACGTAGCACTTTACGGAATGTATCAACATATGATTAGTACTTTGACTCCCTTATGTTAAACAAAAAACAGGTATATTATCCAAGTGCGAATTTCTCATAACACGATGATGAACTGTTTCTATATAAGTTGGACTACAGTTAACTACTGAGGAAATATAATCAACTTCCGTCTAAATAACTTTGCACTACGGTTACCAATTACAGCACAAACAGGAAGCGTGCAATTACTTAGGCTTATATATCTGATGAGATTTTGGTTTGACTAGCGTAACGGTACAAGCACACACAAATCAGTGTAGTGAAAAGATTATGAGGAATTTAGAAACTTGGAACTTAAGAAGACGAAGAATGGATGGACCCGTGCATTTGCAAACGTTCTATACTATGTCATTTAAAGTCTCTGATCATTAGCTACGATATTCACGCGGACATGTTAAAATGGCTTCATTCGATCGTTAATTGGACTGGTGTCAAGTTTTGATTTGATTGCGCATGGTTTTCTTCCTACTTAATCATACATCAGACACGGCGAGACCATAATTTATGGACGAACCAATCACGTGTAAAGTGACAGGTCTCGAAATTTGACGCGAAGTTCACTCATCCATTTGGATAAATATATTAAATCATAGCGGGTCGCGTCAGGCCAAAAGGAACTTATAAGTAGCCGGGGTAGCGCGAAGACATTAAAAGTGAAGAGATGACTCGACAACCCAGTAAGCTTGTGGTTCATTCAGATGTACAACGGAAAGCGACAGACAACAATCAAAAAATAACACAAGCATCAAATTACGACAATTTGGGAATCAAAACAAGCAGATAGTTCAACCTACTACAGCATTCATATATGAAAATTCCGCTCAGCTTTGAATTTCAACGCTAAAATTAGTTCGATTGATCATGACCAAAAAGTATGACCACGTTTACGGGAGAAATAAAATGATGAATGATAGGTTATCATACGCTACGTAACGCAAGTGTCAGAAACCCGCCATGCAAAGCGCGACAAATAAATATTGGTTAAGTGGTAGAAAACAAAATGAAAAGGTTTACCGTCACCTGGAAATAACTCAACATGAGTAAATTTGACCACGTTTCTAAAAGAATAAAAAACCTAAACTATGTGACGTTCATTCTGTAGCAGTAAATAAATCCCCAAAAGATATAGCTCTGTAGGTTTTCAACATTGGACGCTTACCACATTAGTTTTAATGGAATCACCTAGCTGAAGGCGCTCGGTCATGCATCCGCAGCAAATCATGAGTGGGAACGCCGTGCTCAACAACCCCTGCAGTCGATAGCCAGATTAGATCAAACGATCCTCGATATATTGATACCCTATCAAATATATATTTCAAACTCCTCGCTTCTGTTATTTGATTTCACTTGGTGGGTACGATTCATATTAGGTGTTACTGGTTAAAGCGCTATCAAATTCCGAATACCTTTGGCATCTTCATTGGTGAGCCTAACGTGATCTGGTACACCAAATTGTAAACTGTGAGCCTGTTCCCTTTTGGAATTCTGTATATTATATTAATATTAATATTGATATTATACTAATATTAATTTTTTATATATTGTGATATTTTTTCGAGATTTTGGATATTTTTTCTCCTTGTTCACTCTAATACTTGGTATTTCACCATGACTGAACAGGCTCACAAGGAACTTAAGCTAAAGACTATGTCCCCACCTTCGTTCCAACTAAGGTCCTTTTGGCCAGACAACATGGAAGCCTGGTTCTGCCACACAGAAGCTGACTTCTACGAGCACGGCGTGAACGACACACGTTCACAATTTCTCGCAGTAGTCAAGGCACTACCGCATGAATTCAACAGGTATGTTGACGTTTCGGAACCATATGATACACTTAAACGATCTATCCTTAAACGCGGAGACCTAACTGACGAAAAAAGGTTAGACCAATTCCTTAATAACATCGGCGTGCAACACGGTTCTGCGACAGTCATGTTGCAAAGAATGAGAGGTTATCGGCCAAAGAACCTTCGATGATGGTCTATTCAAACAACTTTTCTTATCCAAACTTCCTCAACAGGTGTAAGCTGTGCAGGTCTCGTTTCAAAACAACGCCTTTGACGAGCTGGCCGCATCTGCCGACTGCATTTCAGAAATCACGAAATCTAATGCCAAGATTTTTTTAGTCAAAGAAAATCCCCAAACGACCCAGAGTGATACTGCATAGTTATGTCATACACTTGTTAGTTATCTTAAATTTCACAACGACCGTAAACGGTCACACACCTAACGAAGAAGCACTTCACGTACGCGATCTGTCTCTGGACCACGGAATATGGATAACTCCGACTGGTGCTGGTATCCTGACCAGTATGGAAAGTCCTCCAGAAATTGCAGAAAATTCTGCAATTTTCCCAACTCAGAATGGACCGACACGCAAACGATTCGGGAAACTTCCAAGCCGGCACGCGTTAACGGCAACCGTAGCCGGCGAACATAGCCGTCTGTTATCCGTCACAGATTTGATAACGATAGTTCGCTACTTCGTCGATACTGGATCATAAGTTAGCGTTCTTCCGACGAATTCTAACGATCGGCTTCGCGAGTGAGTTTTAAATTTACAGGCGGCAAACGGAGAGCGTATCGCCATACACGGTAAGAGGTAGGTTTACCTTAACGTGGGTTTACGCAAACCCATTCACTGGATCTTCGTTGTAGCAGATGTTTCTATGCCAATCATTGGTATAGACCGCCTACAACACCACAATCTACTCATCGATACGCGCAAACGGAAGCTAGTAAACGGAAATACTAATTTATCTGTTTGCGTAACTTCCTTTTCTGGTAGCAGATTATCTCCAGTCACAATTAAGCACATGATAGACCCATTCTATCAACCACTACTCGATAAGTATTCTGCGATATACCAACCGCAACCGAAATTACCGTGTGTAACCAGCAACGTTACACATCACATCACGACTACAAGACCACCTGTATTCTCAAAAGCACGCCTACTGGCTCCCAAAAAGCTAAGGTTGGTCAAAAAAAGAATTTGACCACATGATAGACTTAGGTATCAAAAAACCATCAAACAGATCATGGGCATCTCCGTTGTACATGGTCCGTAAAAAGGACAGCAACGATTGGTGTCCAACTGATGACTATCGTCGACTGAATGCAAAATCCATTCCCCATCGTTACCCGGTGCCTCACATTCACAATTTGACAGCTACCTTGAAAGGTACAACTGTCTTTTCGAAAATCGACTTGGTTAAGGCGTATAACCGAATTCCCATGGCCACATACGACATACCGAAAACCGCCATCATTACTCCTTTGGACTCCATGAATTTTTGCGAATGCCTTTCGGTCTAAGAAACGCTGCCCAAACATTTCAAAGATTCACAGACGACGTTTTCCGAGGTCTCAACTTCGTACATGCGTATGTTGACGAGTGTCGAATCGCACGTCTGGACAGAGAATCACATCTCAAGCATCTGGATCTTGTTTTCGAACGACTACAAAACCACGGCATTACTGTAAGCGTTCAGAAATGCCAAATCGGAGCTAACTCATTAGACTTCCTAGAACACACTATAGGTGCTCAAGGCATTCGACCCCTTAGGACCAAAGTGGCGGCAATTCTGGATTACCCAGAACCAACCAACGTCAATCAATTACGAACGTTTAACGGCCTGGTAAGTTTCTATAGACGACTCATACCTAAATTGGTTTTCTCATGAAACCGCTAACCGACCAACTTCGTGGAAATGCGGAATCCATCGTTTTGGACGACACCGCACGAAAAGCATTCTCCACAATTAAGAATTTTATTGCGAAAGTAACATTGCGTGCACATCAGGACACTCAAGCACCCATCAGCATCGCAGCAGACGCATCCGACTCAGCAATCGGAGGAGTCTTACAACAATGGGTTGACAACTCCTAGCAACCATTGGCATTTTTCTCTAGGCGGTTGCTAGACACCGAATCGAAGTACAGCACATTCGGCAGGGAAATCCTAGCTATGTTTTGTGCTGTACGACATTTTCAACACTACATCGAAGGTCGTGAATTCACTCTTTTCACGGACCATAAACCGCTCACTTTCTCGTTAAGCTCTCCTTCAGACAAGTACTCTCCCCGTGAGTCTCGACAACTGGACTACATTTCGCAGTTTACTTCAGACATTCAACATATTTCTGGAGCAAACAATGTAGTTGCAGACGCCTTAACTCGCATAACTTTCTTGAAGAGTTTCCAAGGAATCGACCTTCTTAAACTCGGCCAGCTTCAAAAAGAAGACACTGATCTTCAGCGCGAGTTATCGTTTACAACACTGAAGCCACACACCAAACAGATGGGAACAGGCAAGGAAACCTTACTTTGTGACACATCTACAGGTAGGGATCGCCCAATCGTGCCGAAAAATTATGGACACAACGTCTTCAATGCGTTGCACAAACTTCCTCATCCAGGTGTTCGTGCAACCATCAAGCTTATAGCAGAACGGTTTTGATAGCCTGGCACGAATAAAGAAACGAGGGAATAAGCACGCTCCTGTGCAAGCTGCCAAAAGCTAAGGTGATTAGACACAACAAACGTACCTTAGGCTCTTTCAAAACTCCCGACGCTCGTTTCGACCATGTTCATCTGGACTCGGTAGGACCTCTACCAGATTCAAATGGATACTCTTACCTCTTAACGTGCGTAAACCGTTTCGCTCGGTGGCCAGAAGCAGTACCTATCAAGGACATCACTGCCGAAACAGCGGTTCGAGCCCTCGTCCAACGATGGGTAGCAAACTTTGGCTGCCCTTCAACTATCACTGCAGACCGCGAGCGTCAGTTCGAATCTGAACTTTTGCGTTGTCTGATCACACTTTTAATAATCACTCGCTTCCGAACGACGGCCTATCACCCACAAGCAAATGGGTTTACAGAACGTCTTCACCGACAACTAAGAGCTTCGCTATCAGCTACAAACGTTTCACAGTGGACCGACGCTCTTCCACTAGTCTTACAAGGTATTCGCAATGCAGCGAAAACTGACATTGGATACACTGCGGCTCAATTCGTTTATAGAACGACACTTCGACTTCCAGGAAAATTCGTGGATCCCTCAATGAAAATGGATCTAACCTCCTACACGAACAGGCTTACAAACGCAATGCGTTCAGTTAAACCTATTTCCACTCGACCGCAATCAACTGATGTTTTCGTCCAATCTGACTTACAATATAGTACACACGTCTTCGTTCTACGAGACTCACATCGACGACCTCTCGAATCAGCATACGAAGGACCCTTCAAAGTTGTTCAAAGCGAACCCAAGTACTATATAGTCTATAAGAACGAAAGCAACGATAGCATCAGCATCGATAGCCTCAAAGCAGGAAATCCTATTCACGTCGACTTTCCTTCGATACAATCGAACGACACGACTCCACTTATAATTCCTCAATCGACAACCAACACACGCGATGATACTCCGAATGTATTTGGAAATAAACTTAAAATGACGCGTCCCGGAAGAAGAGTGAGGTTTCCAGAACATTTAAACGACCATCGCACGTAAGACACCATTCAACATTTTGTTTCATCTCGATTTTCCATGACATTACATATAATATAAAAAAAGTCAGTTGTTATATGCTTATATATTTATATATTTGTTATTTTGCTAATATGTATATTAAAAATTAAAAAAAGCATTTTGTAAAAATCGCTTTTACGCTATCACATGTACATGAGTTTATTTCGCCTATTTTGTGTCTTAAAGCGAGTTTATTTGGACATGCACTTACATGTTCTTTTTATATTTTCCAGAACGGCTGGAAAAGACGATAAAAAAACGATGAGGTTTAGGAGGAATCAAAATTTGTATTGTAAATTATTTTTTTTACTATACTGTACTTTATGGTCCCTTACCGTAAGGAAGGATGACCAGACGCTGCTAAGCATAGCAAGATATCAGAAGAGTGTTCACCAACGACAAACTCATTGGGTTTAAACTTCTGGCTGGC